CAGTTCAGATTGTTAGTTATCTGCACCCCAGATACTTAATGCTGTTGACCACCTCTATAGCTGCATCATAGATACTGAGTGGAGTATGATCTTGCTGTCTCTTTCTAAAATCTACAATGATCTCCTTTGTTTTATTAACATTTAGAACCAGGTTTCTTTTATTCTCCAGTCCATCAGAGTCTTCACCTCTTCACTATATGCATCTTTACTGTTATCCCACATAAAACCCACCACTGCCGTGTTATCCACATACTTCACAAATGATTTCTGGCAGATTTGGCACATCAGTCATGGGTCATCAAGGTGAAGAGCAGTGCACTTGAGATACAGCCCTGTGGGGAGCCTGAATGCAAGGAGGTGGAATTGGAAACTTTTCTTCCAACTCATACATAGTATTTGTACACTATCTACAAGTCACTACGTACAGATTTTAACCCTATTATGAAGAAAATTATAAACTATAAGGCTGGAGGGAAATGAAAGATAGGATTGGTTTATTGATTCATACATTTTATATGGCCGTGTCAACCTATAATGACATAAGAAGAGACTATCAATTCATTTACAGCTGATCATAGGATGACACACAAATCTATTTCATCACATTCATTTAACTCCTAGCATGACTCCTCAAAATACTTGCCTTTGAATGGTTAGATATGGTTTGAATGGAAGAGCTGAATCTAAGCAAAATGAGAGTACAGAATTCAGGTTTTCTGTATATAAAATGTCATGTCTAGGGATGGCACTCATGGCTGCAGACAGGATTACAATAAGTAGATAATTCAGGGCTGCTCCATAAAGCTTTTTCCACTTAACTACCTAGTCCTGGGGCCCATTTATTTGGATGCTATTATTATTACTAGGGTTCATTACACAGTCATCCAGATATTCAGACTATATTTGGCATTTTTGTCCACATATGAAGTCCTCCCCACAGACTTGTGAAAAGCAAATATTGTTGTCTGATGGAGTTAAAGGTCAGAGGATGTAAGCTATTCCAGGTAAAGCTGCCTTTTGCAATTGAATAATGGTAATTTTATCAATGCTTACGGTGTTCAAGTGATGCTCTGGTTGTTTTGGGATTTAAGTCAAGGGATTTATTATTATTAGTAGTAGTACTACCCTTCCTTTCTTTTGCCACAGACATTCTCTTTCTATTTGCAAGTCTTTGTATTTTATTATCTTTTCCAGTTTTTCCTCTTCTATTCTGCTCCCATATCCACTATCCAGGTTTTTTTCTTCTTCTTATCAACAATGAAGTCTCTTGTGTTATATGGCAAATGCTTGCTTGTTTGAATCTCAACGGCCAGCTCATTTTAGTTTCTTCATTTTTATGGAGAAGTTTGAAAATATTTTAATCAGCAGAGGAGTGCTTCTTGAATCCTGTAATAATTGTGTAAAAGGAAGTTTACAACTGGCAAACTTGCCACCCACTTCAGCAACAGCCAATTTCACATCCAATTGCATACAGAAAGGACAGATTTCATCACCAGAGTAGTCAGGTTAAGTTTATATAGCCTGGAATGACAGGGGGAAGTTTTGAGGCCTCACTTTCAGCATCAACTGCTCCAAAGAGTCCCATTGAACCAAGTTCAGCGAGGAATCATGAAGCCAGGAAGCTTTCTCATGTTCACTATTCTCCTCTTCTTCTTGTACTCTGGTAAGTTCTGTTTTCTATTCTAACTTTTCCTTTTCTAGGAGATTTGAGGTCACCCTTATCTCCAGGGAAAAACAGACAATAATCCACGGATACCCCCCAGGCCAGTTCAGGGGGAATTAATTCTTACTCGGGAAATATAAAGATAAAAAGTGTGTATTGGCTATTTCACTAGAAGACCCTCTAACCAGGGTTTTCCAGTTGTGACTCATAGTTTCTAAGAGGTCTGACACAGCATTCTCATTTCTTGGAGCAAATGGTTCTTCCAGGTACGTAACAGAATTCCTGTGGAAATCAAGAATATTGAACTGCCTATTGACATTCCTATTACCTGTAATTTTCACTGGATTTTGTGTTAGAGTTTTGTGTTAATGTTTTGTTTTTATTTCAGCTGGTCAATGATGTTAATGGAAGGGAGGGAGGAAGCAAGGGACAGCACAAATAGAAATGCACCTATTATTAAAAAATTAGGAGATCATATGTTCACATTTGGCATGATTTCCCCGCCCCCCAGATATTGCTACACAAGGAGGCTTCAGAATAGAAGTGAGTACTTTTAGTTATTAAATTTTAGTTATTAAATGAAGTCCTTAGAAAACACCCAGAAGTGTGTGGGTGCATAGTAACCCCATGCCTGTTCCTCCCCATCACAACCACCTTTGTGGACAACATGTGAGCTCCTAATTTTTTAATAATAGGTGCATTTCTATTTGTGCTGTCCCTTGCTTCCTCCCTCCCTTCCATTAACATAATTGACCAGCTGAAATAAAAACAAAACATTAACACAAAACTCTTAACACAAAATCCAGTGAAAACCA